CAATATAAAGAACCACCAAGATATCATCTATGGCAACCTTGTCGATAATGTTGAGTAGATGTCTCTGCAATTTAGAAACAGAACATAAACTCTTATAATTTTAGTCTTTATCCTGCTTCTCCATTTGCCTTTTGATTCCCCAACAAATCACAGAATTAAACAATAGTAATATTCATTCAGATATCTTGTTCAGAATCGTCATATTTTTTTAAATATCTATGTCCGACATTTATATTCTACATAATAGTTTTCAGACTTTGTTCTATTATCCACGGCATTTTTTACTCAAAAGTTGCTTTACACCAAGAGCGCAACAACAAAAAAGAAAATACAAAATATAAAACAAAGGATTAAAATACACTAGCATTCATAACACATTAATAAGATTTTAAATTGTCTGAGATGAAAATAAGATAATATTTGTTCAGAATTTTTTGTAGTTTATAACAAGGTACACACTAGTGACGCAAACGCTCAAACATCTATAAGGAGAATAACATTCAACTTTACCACCGATACTATTTAATGAATTCCACTCGACCAAAATCGAATTATGCATACATATATCGAAGCTGACACCGAATACATCTTAACTTAATCATACATTCTGTAGTTCAGAAAATTTGATTTTATAGTTAATTCAAAAATGTTACGTTACTCAACATTAAAAATAAGTATTTTATATTTAATTTTTTAAAATTACTTTTTATTAACGAGAATCACAAACGTAACCAACGAAGACTGCGAGTAATATAATTTCAACAATTTGCTGATATTTTTTCAGTCAAGGGGATGTTTGGAAATCAGCAACAATTGCAAAAGTTTATATGACTACTAGTTATGAGAACAAGAATCTAGAATTTGAAATTCATATTATAAATAAACGAACTTAAAACATCATAAAAAATAATAGGAATTTACTGACCTGATAAAGAGCAATTAATTCAGAGACCTGAAAAACGAAAGCTGCATATAAAACCTCTGCAATGAAATCGACAGCCGGTCTACATCCGACGTGCGAGCAACCATCGTCAACGCAAACGCCTTTAGGAAACGGTCTCACTTTACCGGTATACATGTAAGCGAGAACCGCAACAAGCGAATCGTAGCCGATCTCATAGTCCCTAGTCAACTCTTTGAGCTCGAACTTAGCTCCAATGTCTCTAATCCCCGCGAAAACCGTCTTGAATACGGAACTCCTCGCCGACAAAATGCAACGGTGAACGGCGACCTCTCGGCCGGAAGAGAGCGCGATTTTGGCATCGGAGTAGAAGGAATCGGAGTCCTTTGATTCGAAAAGGGAGTCGAGGTTTTTGGAGAGGAGTTGAAGAGCGGAGACGTCGGGAGTACTCAACGGTTCCGATGAAGCAAGCGTTTCGGAGGTGGTAGCGGCGGCGAAGATGCAACAGGTGCTGCTGTTGTTGCTGATTTCGTTGGAATCTGAGAACCCGTTCATATGATCCATAGAAACAAGAGGGAACAGACTATTTGAAACAGAAAGCGATTAGTTTAAATAAGTGAAGGAGGAAATGATTCGCCATGGAATTACTGAGTGGAAACAAAAGTCAAAGGAAGGAGATAAAAGAGGAAGAGTTTGGGCATTGATGAGCTAGCATCAGCTGGGGGAAGCTTGAACATGGGCGTGACCAACGACTAAAATTAAAAGGAATAAAAAAACAAGCGTCGGATACTTTTAGTAGATTTTATTAGGGTAAAGTACACAACTTATCCTTCGATTATAGGAAATTATTTTTATTGAGTCTTCTAACTATTAAAAATTACAAAATGATCTTTTAATTATAAGACATTGTTTTACTGAGTCCACCGGCTATTAAAAGTTATAAAATAGTTATTTAACTATTCATATATTCTAAACTCGTCCTTTTTCATTAGAAATTTGGTGGTTACCTGAGTTGGATGTTAACATGCTCAATGGGATATGATAAAATATAATCTCATAATTATTTGAGTTGGATTTTATGGATCATTTCTATGTTTATATTATATCATCAAGTCAGTACTTGAAAGCAACAACGATGCTAGTAGACATCATTAATATATGATTTTATCATATTCAAGTTAGCATATTAACATCCAACTCAAACGTCTTTAATTTTTTAACGAAAAATGACGAGTTTGAAACATATTTTATAACTTTTAATAGTTGGGAACTCAACAAAACATAGCACTGTAGTTGAAATATCATTTTGTATTTTTTATAGTTAGGGGATACAAAAAAGCAATTTTCCTATAGTCGGGGACCATCTGTTTACTTTACCCATTTTATTATAATATTTACTTATTTCTGCTGTTTTAAGATTGGCTTTTTCTTTTCCCGACTATTAGTTCGTACTTCAGGATCAAATCTTTCCTTTTTTGCCCTTTCTTCTGTTCCTTCCTGCTTTCTGACTTAACGGTTATGATTTATTTTCAGAATCGAAGTTGCCTAACCAAACTCCATTGTCCATACCCACAAAGAAGCTGGACTCTAATTTAAGCGTCAAAACTATTTCTTCCGTAAATATAGTGTATATATATATACAAGTACGAAATTTTAATTTGATTTAATTCTCATAAATTATTAAATTTATTGTTAATATATTATATTATATACATGAACTGTCAAAACTATTTTTTTAGGTTGATAATAATTTTTTTTGTAAAAAAAGATGCGTATTTTGAAAATTAAATCTTCATCAAACATTTTGGACAAGGTATGATTAAACATTTATGAAATTATATTTTAGGAAGATTTTGAAAATTCTTATTTTAAAAATAACTTTAAAAGTTTATATTAAAAAAAATAAGAAAAATTGAATTTAGGAGTCAGTTATGTATAAGAAATATTAAAACACTCTCATGACTCTTACAATTGGTACTTTGTTAATTACATATTATGTTAATTTTACAAAATTATTAATTCAAATTTAATTTTAATTTGTGATCTCTTAAAATTAAAACATGGATACAAATTTAATTGATAGAGTGAACTTATAAAAAAATAAAAATAGTTACATTATTCTTTTAAATTAAAAAATATAGTTCATCTTATTTTCAAAATGATATCATTTTATTGTGACATTTTATTGTGGATAATTAAAAAGTTCGTATTTAATTTACTTTAAAAACTATCTCTTTAGTCTTCTTAATGAGATGATATTATCTCAAACAAAAAATTAAAAAAATTTATGAAAATGTATGCATAATTCATAACGTCTTAAAGAAATATACAATAATGAAGGGTACAAGTACATGATACTTGTGTATTTCAAACTTATTATCTATTTTAAACTAATATCTGCAATATAAATTCTACCGGTTACAGAGATTGTGGAAGAATTATATGTTTCTAAAATAATTATTTTTCATAATTTTAAAGGTTAAACATGTTTTTTATTTATATAATCAAATATTTGGTCACCAAGAACTTTTACTCTGTAATTTTTTAAATTAAATAATTGTCAAATAATTTTCAACTAGTAAAACTATATAATAGAATATGATTTAATTTTTGTTAGGATTGTGAAATGAGTTACTCTTTTTCGGTCATTAGTTCATCTTATGGTGAAAATTACGTTTGATCTGTAATTGATTTCCCATCGACTTTATACTTTAACCAAACACTAATAGACTATGAAAATATTTTCCACATATATTAGAGGCGTTTATGTTAGTTTCCTATTTTTTTTTTCACAGAATGAAGAAATAAAAGTACGACAAAATTGATTTAAAAATGGCAGAAAACAGTATCGTGTAAAATCTCACGCCATTGACATTACAAATTTACAATCAATCATCCATGAGCTTAGGGGGCGGCTATAATGGTTGGAATTTTTTGCCAAAGTTGCTGAAAGAGTGTTGCGGTTGTTATCAAAATTTCGTCATTTTCTAAGCTCACCCATTCAGATAGAGTACTTTCATCTGATATTTAAAATATTTTAAATTTGTATTCACTCGGACCTTTGCTTCTTTCCCATTGTAGAAATCGCCTTTCGGTTGGGTCCGGAATTGGGCTTAAGAAAATGGGTTGGAGTCGTCACCGACCATTTTAAAACGAATTTAGGTAGGTCAGACACCATCTTATCTGATCTGCGTTGTACCAGAAACATGTCGGGTTCGGGAGTCGATTATGGTCAAGAAATGATTAGCACCCTTGAATCGCTCTTTCGGTACCAATTAATTTATCGACTGTCTTTAATTGCGAAAATTATAATTTAAATTGAAATTTAAATTACCCGATTCGAATTAATTACCTTTGATCGATTGAAATTACTACTGAAGAAGTCAAAAAGATGTTAGATACTAAAATAAAATATTGAATGCTTAAACACTTAGTGATTTAAAGGACCAAAATGATATCGATGGTAACTTGAAAGTCCAAACAACAAGATCAACAATAATTAAGGTATAATCGAGGATATTAAACAAATAAGACACTAAAAATAGAAATAAATAATAAATAATATTAAGGGTTAAAATAAAATAAACCAGAAACAGGGACGAATAAATAACAATTCAAAACAAACAATTAATATAACAAGTGACCGGAATAAAACAAAACAAAACATGCATGTTTAAATCGAAACTAGCAAATAAATATCAAAGATAAAAGCAAAAGCATGATGGGATCCGGTAATTAAACCTACATCGGTTGTTTTTGAGAAGGATGACATTTACCCTATTTACCGATATAGGTAATACGCCTTTTTGAGTATTTCTACAGACAATACCAAAAAATCTCCCATGTGTAGCATTCATTTTTCGTTTGCCCTTGGCAAATTCCAGATTAAATGATGGACCCCACCTCCACCCAACATAGTCAAGGTAAACTCACGGCTCTCATAGGCATTTGCAACTGAAGTAGCGGAATCCAAGTTATTCATTTCGCAATCGGCCTAGGCTTTGATAAAATCACACTGGAAGGTGATTCTCGAACGGTGACCCTGAAACATCTGCCCTTGCTTTGCACTTTTCTTCATCCCAACAATCCGTTTCTTCTCTTAGGTTCTCGTCAACATGGTCAAGGTAAAATCATTCTTAGACTTGACATCGAACAACAACCCGAAATAGAGAAGATTGAGTAGATCCTCAATGGCATGATCGGATTCATTGGATTGTTGTTCTTGGGCTTCGGTCTTATCCAATTGAGCTTCTGAGGTTGTCTCTTCCAGCGAATTTGTTTGACGCTGTAAGGCAAGTGAGATTTCTTCGAAGACGGCGGCAGAAAGAGGTTGTCGAAGCTTCTCGAGTTCATCGATGAGGGCGGAGACGGCGGGTTTGGAACGGAGGACTTCTTGTTCTTTGTTGAAAGGTTTGCAATGGGATAGGGATTCTTCCATCTGGAGGATGCGATTGTATTTCTTGCGTAGGGCGCGGAGACGTTTGTTGATGAAGCTAAGTAAGGAGCCGTCCGAAACTGAGGTTGCTGCGTCGGAGGAAACAGTCGCTTCCGCGGCTGACACCATGGAAGGATTCTTGGTGGCGGTGGGTGATTGGAGTTTAGAAAGATCACCACAAGGGAGGCAGTGGTCGTGTGATGGAGCGGCGGGATGGGGTTATAATGAGAATAACGTGGGCTGCCATCTCTCCCTCTTTCTCTCTTCAATTCCTTTTTGCTTTGTTATCCCCCCTCAGCAGAGAAACCTTAGACTCCATTTTAAATGAAAACAAAAATGGGAAGTGCTCTCCTAATTTTTCGGTGGCTTTGTTGGCAAGTACGTGGAATGGACGTCGTGGGAGTAGTGGATGGAAGGGGAAAGCAATAGAGGTTCTTCATTTTTTGGTAGTGGGTAGTTTGTTGAAATGGGGCCTGCAAAAATAATTATAAATTAATAAAATAAAATAAATAAATAATAATAGTAATAATATAATATAATGTTTTTATAAATCCGAAAAAAAACGGCTACAACTATCATTCACCAGTCATTTATTTAAAATATTTTTCGCTTTTGCTAGGATACTCTTCAACGTCTTTCTTGGCCTGATGCCGCATCGAAGTCGATCTACGAGGCTCTGATGGATGCTGACAAACAAACCAAAACAATGTTACAAAAATCGAGTATCAATGCTTCATTCACAGAGTCTCAGTTACCCCATACACATGTTTTCCTTAATGCATAGTTTCCTCAAGCTGCTATGCAAATGAGTTAAACAATTCTATGCTCACCCGCTACCTTGCACCGGCTGTATTCGGAGTCATAGACTGGCTCTTATTTGGAGTTGTACGCCTGCTAACGGATCCAGTAATTAAAAGTGGAAATCGATGCGGTGATATTGCTCGTTTATCCGATTAAGTGTGTCAAGATCATCGGTGAGCGAGTACATGCATTGTGACATAGAGTTGCAGTTCAAAAGTATAATCAAGGCAAATTTGCATTCCAACCTAGTTCTTTCTTGGGCATGGTGTAAGTGATGGAAAGTGTTGCAGATTTCTGTGGAGACCGTGAAGAAGTTGATCGGGAACGCCCTTTTCTGCAACAACGATCACTAGTATAAATATATATTGGTACAAAACTAAATGATTATGGTTAACTAATACAACGCACTAGGATTTTGATGTTAAATGTTACCTAACTGAATTAAAACTTTTGTGGTGAAGAAGAAGATAATGTTGATGGGTTTTAACCGATTATTTTGACTGTTGTATTTTACCCAACCAAACCCTTAAAGTGTTATTTTTGAAGATCCTTACCCACATTTTCAGCTAACTTAACACTCCAGCGATTTTTTTATTTCTCCGATCTCTTCCTTCTAAATTTGGGTTTTATGTTTTTCTTTCAAGTGGGAGTGAAAGGGTGGGAATCAAAGCGTCAATCAACTGTGTTCCTACAAGGCCAAACAATGTCAAGTAAGCCGACCAAACATGCCACAATTGGGTAACAATCGTTAACGGTCGAGTGATTAATTTATAATTAATAAAGTCAGTAAGCAAATTGTCATTTTCAAAACATCAGTGGATAAAGAGAAACTTATTCATACTTTAGTGACCGTTTATGTCGGTTACCCAAATAGTAATAATAATAATAAGCAACGGAGAAAGCGCATAAACGCAGAGAAGTTGTACGCTTTTTATTTATTATGCCAATAATTACAGCACTGTCCTGTTACCTGAACGAGTAAATTTCTTCTCAAGGGAGTTCATCAAACAATAGAAACACATTTTACAACAATTGAATAGAGACTTTAGGAATCAAGTGGGCCATATATAATCTCCGATTCACCTCTTTCCAAATGGGAAACTTTAGGAATCATGCCAAGCAAAGCTGCTCAATGTCTCCACCACTGTAGTGCTTCTTAGCCGGGTGTAGCTTGATCTCATAAAGCTTTGGCCACCATTTTCCGGTCACTGGAAACCAACAAAAAACGAGATGGACTAACCACACGAATGAGGTGTAACAAATAAGGTCGAATCTGGTTTACGACTTACCGAAAATGCGATTTTTGTGGGCATCCCAAGCAATCCCATTCAGAACATCAATACCCTAAACCATAGTGAACCTGAGTTAGATGAAATAACTGAGATTGTGTAGCATACTGCAGAAAACCATATGGAGCTTTCATTGTACCACAAGCCACAAGCAGAGTTAGAACAATATTTCAGATTTAGGTGCTTACGGTATATCCAGCCGCTAATAGTCCTTCTCTGTAAAACAACCGAACACCATGGTGGATCTAATTAGTAATTATTTGATTACAGACAATACTTACGCAAATAACCAGAATATATATACCTTAAAGTTGGAAGAAGAATCCATCCAAGTATTTTACCATTATCAGGTGAGATTCTAACAATGCAGTCAGTCTACACAAAAAGAAAGTTGAGTTCAGAAAGCTAATCTTTTCTTCCCCGGATATCTAAATCCATACTACATGAACCCCAGGAATAAACTCATACATATACAAAGACATACCTTCCAAACATTTGCCCATATTTCACCTTCTATGTATTCCAATTCATTCAGATAGCGTACTTTTAGGCCATTAAATTTGATCACATGCTTTCTTCTGACTGCAACATAGTGTAGAAGATAAGAATACAGTTGGAAAAAGAGGGTATCAAAATGAAGGATATTTATATTTACTAATTATTATACAACACTTTGAATCTATGCAGTGACATACAAGAAAAATAACAGTTGCTGGAGGGGGGGGGACCTTTTAATGATTGAGGATCCATCTCATACAGTGTTGAAGTCCCATCACTTCCATATATGATTTTGCCATCAGTTGCCAGTCCCCACCCATCTTCCATCTCATGTGTAAATTGCCCTAACTGCAGGGATTATGACAAAATGAAACTATTTTAGACACAGAATACAAGCACCGAATGCACTTTAGTTAAAAAGAAACAGAATGTAAAATGTAATTAGACAATGAAATGATACAGAAAGCAGTAAGCTTTTTGTAAGGAGATGCAAACATAATGGTGATTGTTGTCATATCATAACCAGAAAAGGTTTTAAAATGCAGAACAAGGTAAAGGAGGCAGGTGGTTTTGTTGTGCGACCACTAATTTAAAGCTAATTTAAGACGATTTTTAACCTAAAACATTATCCTATTCAACCTAAAAAGTTATACAAATTTATAATATTTTTTATTGCAACCGAAAAAGTTATACAATTTGTAATAATTTCGGTTCAACCTAAAATATTACCATGTCTAACCTAAAAAGTTACGCTCTTGATAATTTTTTTGGTTGCAATCTATTTCTATCGTTTTTTTAACCTTACATTTACAAATTGTATTTTAGATTCTTTCAAAGGAGGCAACAAAGTTTCAAGTTATTATTTTGGACATGCATCAGACAAGCAAGAACAAAAGTACAAATTGTGAAGTCAGTGACCCAACTTAAATCAACAAACTCAACACGGACACGAAAATATAACCGAGGCACGACAGAAACATGACATGAAAAAATTACACAAGCATGGCATGAATACAAGAATCATTTTAATACGAATTATTAAACAAAAAATAATTTAAACACGAATATGACACGGATACTTCTGGATTCTTATATTAAAGTTTCATGAGGCATTACTTAACATCAGTAGAGCAATGAGCAGACTAACTTCCCAAACCAAACGATGAAATTTATACAGAAATAGAATAATGGAAATTATTGTAACATTAAACTATGCATGCTTCTGCAAATTAACAAATGGCAACCAAATTGTATAATGATGATAGTACAAATTAAAGACCAAAACAAAGAGTATAATGATGTAGAGAGTGGAAGCACAAACTTTCTGCAAATTTTTTCTGTCATACGTGAAACCAATTTTCGTTAACCAAGTTACTTGGAACAGCCTACAAAAGAACAAAGAACTACTAATTAGTCTTAAGAGCGCACAAAAAGTCATACAATGTAAGATCTAAAATCTCAGAATCATATTAACAAATGCCAACCAAATTGCAAACCAAAACATTAAAGTAGATGAACAGAACAAAAATCTCAATTGAATGCATATAAAATGCACTGAAATCAGTCAAACTTTTACTAACTGCAAAATAATCTTTAAGTACTTTAAACTTCAAAAAAACTAAAACCAATTTGGAGGCAGAAGGATTTGACAAACTGATAGGGTGCTTCAAAGGGCTTGCTGGAAGTAAAAAGGGAAGAAAACATGTGACAAGGAAGTGGAAGAAAAAGGACATGAGCCGAACTGTACAAATTATATTCCCTTTAACAAACCTTTCACCCAAAAGAGTTAAACCCTCTCCAAAATATGAATCAGCCATCTTGTGAAGAAGCTCGACCTGCATATACAAAATATAAGCCTGGAATTAAGAAAAAACGGTTCGCTTTAGTTTACAACTAAGGACATATTACCGAGGGAGCGACTGGGACCAGTCACTCCTGGAATTAGGAAAAAAGGTTGGCTTTATTTTGTACCCTTAGCAAGCTTCCAAGCAAAATTAACTCCATTTACATTATATATCAATAAATCTTATTGCACACAAATTTAACTTCCAAAGATACTAATATTCAATAATCTCATCATGCAAATGGAAGAACAACCAAGTAACAACAAGCTTGTATAAAAATGAAAAGACAGGGATCTGTACCTTCCCAGTCTTAACAGCTACCCTGCGAACCGATGACTGAAACGGCGAGAAGAAGTAGGAGGTTAAGTAATAGTTTTCATATGATTCAAATCCAACCCTAAACAAAATTAAAGAGACCAGGCAAAGAATGGAACCTAATTTTGGAACTGCAAATCGGCAATTCAAACAAATAATGAATATAAACACAAGGAGATAGCAAAAAAGAAAAAACTCACATTCTCGTAAAGACCAGTTGACTCAAAGAAGGTATCTTTTCCAGCATAAACAAGACCCTGAAAACAAACGATCCATAGATTTTTCAATGTTAAGATATGGTCAAAAGTTAAATAAGGAAAAATCTACTCTGAAAAGTAATCATAAACTTTGATAGCTCCTTTTTGGCGAGTTACCTGGGTGAAGGCACCGGGATCGTGAGGGAATTCATTGACTATTTCGAAGCCGTAAACTTGAAGCGAATGGTCGTCGTTCCGAGCGTTTGAAGAAACTCCCAAAACAAGAATCACAAAAACAAGCAAGATAATGGATACTAAAATGAAGAGTTTTCTGAGATAAAAATGCTTGAAAGTAGCCATGGAGGTTGGAGCTTGATTTCTCGCCGTCATGCTTCGTTCCAACTTCCAAACGATTGGGAGAGATCCCAAAACCCAGAATTTGGCTAGCACTGTTGGAGTTTGGTAGGGGATATCATGGTAAATGGATCATAAATGCGCAGTTTTTGGTTTACCAAACACTATGACTTTGGGACCTTTCTTATTAATATTATTCTTTCTATCCAGTAATGAAACATTAGATGTCGTTGTCCACCAAACATTATGACTTTGGGACTTTTCTTATTAGTATTATTCTTTCTAGCCAGTAATGAACAGCAGCAACATTAGATGTCGTTGTCCCCATTTTTCTTCTAAATTATATATTTAGTCCCTCCAATTGTATTATGTTTTAATTTAAATCATTTAATTATAAAAATTCTAATTTTATCATTAAATTTTGGGGTACACTACATATTTAGTATCTAAACTATCACTTTTATTCCATTTTAATACCTAAAATTATTTTTTTCAAAATTATATTTAACGTTTAGTTTATGTTTCAATTTGGTACTCTACATTAAAAACTTAACGTCATTGATAACTTATAATTTACATTACAAGATGTGTGGAATTTGAAAAGGGAAAATAATTTTATGTCACCGCTGTCACTAAGTTTTTAATAGTGAGGTACCACACTGAAACCTAAATTAAATATTAAATATGATTTTATAAAAAAATAAAATTTAAATACTTAAACAAAACAAAATTAATAATTTAAGTACTAAACATAAAATTTATTCTAAATTTTATTTGTCTAACCATTAATATGTTAGTTCTTTAACACCATCTTTTTAAATTTTTAAAAAACCCAGCCCCCCTTCGTCTCTTACGGCTAAACTAGATATGGGCATGGGTCGGGATTTTGGTTCATCCGACCCGATCCGAGAACAAAAAGCCCTCAACTCGAGACCCGATCTGATCCGACCAAAACAAGATTTTTGATATATAATTTAAAAACTTGACCCGAAATAAAAAAATATATATTTTTATTCAATAAAAATAGTGACTTAATTGAAAAAATTAATATATAGAGGGGTATTATTGTAATTATTCCTAAATATATAATGTAAAATTATATATTTTTTGGGTCGGGTCTAATATTTTTCACCTTAAACTTGAACCCGACTATCACATTTAAAAAAAATCTGACCTGATCCGACCCGAACCCGAATTTATTTTTTAAAAATCCGACCCAATTAGGTCGGAACCCGTCGAGTTCGGATCTCATACCCATACCTAGACTAAACATCTTTCCGCGGTGTTATCTCTCTCTCTAAATTTATATAAACCTCTTGCAACTTTTCTCCCTCAAAAAATCAATTAAATTTGGTTTAATATAAAAAAAATGTTTAAAATAATTTTTTTAAAATAATTTTTTTTGTTAAAAATAAGTATCTAAAGTTTTCAACATTACATTTTTAGGTGTTTGTCGTTAAATTCAACTGTGAAGTGACACATATTAATCTTATAAAAATTTAAAAACTTTGAAATTTCATATGCTTGACAGGTGTCATTAACGATCAAATTTAACAGTGTTAACGGTATATACACCTAAAATTGTAACATCTGAAAAGTTAAACACCTATTTTTAACAAAAATAAAATTCTTTAAGCACTTAAAGTTAACTTTAAGTATAAGTTTTAGACACTTATTTTTACATTAAACCATCATATTTTCAATTATAAAAATCACTTTTTTATTGAAATTATTATCGCTAATAAAAAAGTATTTCAATCATTAGACTATTAGATCATTAATAATAATTGATATGATATTTTAAAAATTTTATAAAAAATGGTAGTCTTCGTTCCTCCTTGTTTTCGTTGTAAACTCATCGAAAGTGTTAAAATGAGTTTTAATTATTTCAATCATCATAACTCGATAATCTTATCACTTTTTCTTTCGATTCAAACTTGTCAAAAATAGTTTTTATTTCCTTAAATCTTAGTCAAAACTGAAGATAAATTTTTTCAATATATTACTGTCAACAGTCAAATCAATTTAAAATTGAATTATATTAATATTTTCATCAAACATAATTTTCTCACCGTTGAATTGATTGACAATTGTTCCGTTCATAGAAATACATGACTTTGCAACGCAGCCAATTTGGAACCTTAACTTCTTTTTGAAGAATAAGAATTTAACGTCTCACTATTGTCCAATTAATTACACTTTTATTCTATTTTCATTAATTAAACTAATTACACTTTTATTCTATTTTCATTAATTAAACTAATTACACTTTTATTCTATTTTCATTAATTAAACTAATTACACTTTTATTCTATTTTCATTAATTAAACTAATTACACTTTTATTCTATTTTCATTAATTAAACTATCATGATTAAAGACATATATAATATTTTATGTTCAATTCTAAATTTTCAGACAGATTTTTTTTTAATTTTAAAAGTGATAACATATTATTAATAGAAAATATATTATAATTTTAAATTTTTAAGAAATACGATTATCTTCGTCCGCTTCGAAATCTATATCTGGTCATTACCGTCCGATTAAAAGCAATTAAACTACCACGAAACATTACATTATCTCGAAAAATTCTAGAAAGCTGAAATAGAATAAATGAAGAAATAAAAGTTGTGTGGTTCATCGGATCCAAGTCATTGTATTTTATGTTTTGAGTCATTTGATTAAATACATAAATGAAAATTATTCTTTTATTAAATTAGTACATATTTAAAAAATACAAAGAGTTAAAAAAAATCAAAATCAAAGCTCAACTGTTGCATCTCAGCGCTGGCCATGTCTGTTGACCACCGGCGCTGGCCACCATACCAAATGGTTTCTATCGGCTCAGATACAGCTCCATAAGGCTCCCGCTCGCCTACTCTATGATTGATATAGTTAAATTCAATCTTATAATTTAAAATTTAAACAGGAGATGTCACATTCAAGAAAGTAATATAATTATATTTAAATTAAAAATCTTTAATTTAATTATATTTTTAAATCATATTTTAATCTTATAAAATCTCAGGTGAAAATTTTATAAAACGATTCAGTCAACCTGGCTAATAATGCATGATCAATTATTTATATTTAAATAACTTAATAAACTTATAACAAATAATCATTTTTTTAAAATTGAAAATCAAATTAAACGAAATCTTATGCATGCTATTAATAATAAAATTGAGCTTAAATTAATATCATTCGACTTTATATGGTATATCGTTTATATTATTTAACTTCCGACTTTTTTAATTATAGTATAACTTTAGTTTTAACTTCAACTATGTCACTAGGTCGTTAAAATCCAAACGGTGTGATGATATGGAAAAAAGAAATCGTTTTGATGCAACCATTGATGCTTGAAATAACGTCATTTTAGACATTAAACTTTAGGGTGTATCGTTTTGCTAGCTACTATGCTTCTAAATAGTTCACATTTTGATATTGTATTTTTCTAGTCGCCGCCAACAACCAATCACTGCCTGTCATCGATCATCTTTTCTGACAAGATCAAATACCAAAACGTTTTTATTTCATTTATCTTTTTTCCTAAGATTGATTATTCGTTAAATTCATTTAAAAAGGGAAAATTAAATAAAAAAATCTACCATTTTCAAGGATTTGGGGGTTTTCTTATATTTACAGAATTTGAGTTGTTTGTTTGAAAATCTAAACAGTGATAATCGTTATTACAAGAAGACAAACAACATATCTCAAAAGTAGCCTCATTAGGCGACCATCGAAAAATATTAGAATATTAGTGTGTCGAACCTTTAAATTGTTTTTCATTGATTTTGAGTGAGTTTCGTGAAAAATAAATCATAGGAAAATAAAGAGAAGTGAAATGCAAACATTTTGATATCGATCTTGCTATGAAAGACGACCATTGATGGGCGACAACTGGTTGCCAACGACGATTGTAATAGTTTAGTGCAAAAATTAATTTTTTTAAAGTTTAGTGATAAAATCGATAGATAATATTAAAATTTAATGTAACATCCCAAAATTGACTTTTTTTTTTCGATAACATGATAAATAACTTTAGATGATTATTGTGAATTTATAATCACTAATTTAGGCTTTCTGATTAGGATAAATAGAAATTTTATGAGAATTTAGTGTAACTTTGGAGAGGATTAAATTGCACGAATTAAGAACTTGGGATCAAGGACTAAAATGAATAAAGAACAAATAGTGGACAGTTGCATGAAGAACTATTCTCTTGGACAAGTTGATGAATTAATTACTCAAAAACCATACAAGTTGTCATGCTTTCAAGTCACTAAGTGATGAATAATAAGTCTTTTAATTAATTTACTTAAAAAGGAAAATAAGGTAATCGAGGGGTAAACCCCACGGCTTGGTTCATTTGACGAGAGAGAAGGAAATTCCAAAGCTTTCTTCAACAATTTCTTCCTCCTCCATTGCCGCGTAATAACCTCCCCCTTCAAAGCTTAAATATTTGGTTCAATTTATTATATTTTATAAAACTCGTTGTGTTCTCAATGACAAATTCTAATTATTCAATATATTTTATAAAATTCTTCATGTCCTCATGACGAATTTAATATATACAATAACTAATTATCTGAATCTCATATTAATTTTTAAACACCTATATATCTCTGAATTTTTTTCTCACTTGGATTATTTGGCATCTTAAGGTTAAGCCCTAAATCATTTTAATTTTAGATTTCATAACATCTTAAGGATAGATATCGAATTTATGAACTTTGGTATGATTTTTTAGTGGAAAAAGAGATTGTTATTTTCCTTATAAGTCTTAGTTCGAGTAGCTAAATATAATATGTGTACGTTATCAATCGATTAAGAAAGTTATAAATAAATACTACCTTATAATCATTAATCGTCCCAAAATATTCAAAGAAAAATTAAAGAAACTAAAACTTAATAAAAACAATTAAAAGAATCAAATTAATTTTTTTTTAAAAATTAAAGAGTCAAATATATATATATATATATATATATATATATATATATATATATATATATATGACCTCTATCTACGCCTTCTATACATAGATATAATATTTCAAAGATATGCAACAAAATGTAAAAGTTTAAAACATTAAACATATTATATTTGTTTGTTTTAGATCGATTCAAAAGTCGCTCTGTTCTGACAATTCAGATTTATATACGTATAGTATAAGCTTAATTTAATATTCTTTATTTTATTAAATTTTAAAACATAAATAAATACTTTTATCTCATTTTTAAAATATTAAAAGTAGGCAAAGAACATGCATATTTCGATAGACATCACAACATAAATTGACAAGAATGTGATTGAATCTTAGTTAATTGATATGATTTTTTAAATATTTTTAAAATTATTATATTTTAAAGATTTAAATTTTTTTGATGAGAACAAATTAATTTTATCGATCGTTAACAATTTTTCCGTTTTAACTTGAACAGATAATTTCAGTTGGTGAGAATTTTATCATATGTCGATGTTGATTTGTGTGAAGAAAAGTGGAAGCAAACGAAGATAAACAATGCAAGTGAAAAAAAAAAAAACAAGAAAAAGAGTCCATTAAACTTTTATGTTGTCCCTTTGATGGTTAATTTCAAGGCAATTGTCGTTATACTTATTAATAGATTAATAGACTATACAAATACGATTTTATATTATCAGTTTTGATCTTATCAAATATTATATCAAAGACAGAAGAGTATGACACTCGAAGACTGATCCTAATGAAGTATAATCCCAAAGATAGCACAATATTTTTGAAGAACTTCCGAAAATTTTATTTAAAAAATAATATTAAAAAATTAATAGTTTTTGGAAAGGTTTTTCTTTTAAATATGATGTATAAGTCGTTGAAGAATTAGTAAAATTATTGATGATTTAAATATCAAGGTCTAACTTTATTTGATTGAATAAAATATTCATTTATATATATTATTTTAAAAATATAAAAGCATTTAATATAAAGAGAATTTCAGCCGAGCCAAACCGACTGAAAAAAATATTAAAAGGGAGATGAGATGGAATACACGTGGTGTAAAATAAGAGGGAGTGGGGTGGCTCCGAAAAAGTATAATAAAATGAAGAGCAAACTACATAAGATACCACCAAACTTTATATATTATATCATTTATACCATTTAACTTTCAATTTTATTAATTATAACTCTAAATTTTGATTTTTATTTCAATTATATCACTTAATCTTTAAATCGTTAGCGACATGATGACGAATATCGATGTAGGTATCTCACCAAAACAACACCAATTTGATTCGGATGTTAACAATTTAACGGCTCAATAGTATAATTGAAACAAAAAATAAAATTTAATACTATAATTGATAAAATTAATAATTATATAATATAAATGATATAACGTCTAAAGTTTAATGGTATTTATTGTAGTTTATCCCAAAATGAAAATCCAAAAAATTGAACTGTCAGTTCATGAATCTAATCGAACCCTCCACACAAACGGCCAAACTTCCCTTCTACCTGCATTCATGAACTTACCCGTCCCATGCACTCCCTCTGGTCACCATCTCCATTTCCATCCAAATCCTTCTTTCACTTACCCTTTTTCTTTAATCTGTCTTCGGGAATTGTCTGAAACGACACACCTTTGCTTCATGTTATGTTTCTCCCTTTCTGGTGGTATGTATCCAAAGTTGTTTGTTTTCTTTTTCTGTTGTACCTCTGTTTGATCATTTTCATACAAGTTTATCCCTTTGTTCCAGGCTAAACTAAAAGGAAGAAAAAAAAAAAGGGTCTCATCTTTGAAGATTTGATCTTATTATTTCCCGTAAGACAGAATCATGGAGGATATATCTGCAGAAATTGCAGGTCCCTGTGCCATTAATCTACTTGACTCCATGTCTAAAGATTTGAGAACGATGTCGATATGCATCGACCTCGCTCCCTGCAAGCTTATTGCTGAGATGACTAGTAATCAACCTTGTGAGTTCATCTCTGGTGGAACCCAAAGTTTCCATGGTGCTGGTTCACGTGGAAAAACTACTGCTACACCATTGTTAGGGAAAAGAAATATGAGTGATGTTCAAGATGTCAAGAGGGTTTCGGTGGATCTTGCAGGGGATGGACTCAACGAGTTTAATCCGAAATCATCCGAGTCATACCTGGATGTGCCACAACAAAAGAAGATGAGAAAAACTGAAAGCCAATGTCAGTTTGAATTACTTGACATCCCCCTTTGGGGATTTACATCCATTTGTGGTAGGAGACTGGAGATGGAAGATGCTGTAATGGCTATGCCTCGATATTTTCTAGTTCCTCCGCAAATGCTGAACGTCGAGACAATATCGAATCGAACAAATCACAGTATAAGCAACTTAAGTGCTCACTTCTATGGCGTGTACGACGGACATGGAGGCTATCAGGTTGCGAATTATTGCCGTGAACGTATGCATTTGGTTTTAGCCGAGGAGATTGAAATGGCGAAAGCACTTGTTCACGATGGGAAAATCGGATATGGCTGGCAGGAACAATGGAGGAAAGCATTCAGCAATTGTTTCATCAAAGTCGATACCGAGATCGCCAGAGTTCCTAGTGGCAACGGTGGGAACAACAATCATCTCGAACCTGTTGCCCCGGAAACAGCTGGTTCCACTGCTGTGGTTGCAATTGTTAGTTCAACACACATTATTGTTGCCAATTGTGGTGATTCAAGGGCGGTTCTCCACCGTGGAAAACTTCCCATGCCATTGTCTTTAGACCACAAAGTAAGACATGTTTTTTTTTCATGTTCTGGTTTTTACTAATTTCAAAGACAGACATGTAACACGTGGAACATATAACATATGACCCTCCTTTTACAGCCTGATAGAGAAGATGAACAAGAAAGGATCGAAGCAGCAGGAGGCAAAGTCATACAATGGAACGGACCTCGAGTTTCCGGTGTTCTCGCAATGTCGAGGTCTATAGGTAAGTTGTTTCAAATCCTTGTAATATCAGTTCCCAATTGATCAATGAAAGTATCAAACTTGAGTATCATCTTATGAATGATGATCCTATCAGGTGACAGGTACTTGAAACCATGGATTATTCCAGACCCGGAAGTCACATTCGTTCGTCGGGGAAAAGACGATGAATGTCTAATCTTAGCAAGTGATGGCTTATGGGATGTGATTAGCAACGACGAAGCCAGCGAAGTTGCACGAAAACGGATCGGTTTATGGCATAAAAAGTATGGTGATCAGTGGACTGGTAGAAAGGGTGGGGAAGGAATTGATCCTGCAGCTCAATCTGCAGCAGAGTACCTCTCAAGGCTTGCTCTTAGTAAAGGAAGCAAAGACAATATTAGTGTGATTGTGGTGGACTTGAAAGCTCAAAGAAAATTTAAGAAGAGAATCAGAGAGTGATATTGTTGCTGTTAAATTTGACATATATTTGTTGTTTGGTGTCAATTGGGCAAAATATTTTTAGATAATGTGATGGAAAAGAATTTTCATCTATGATGTGAAGGGGATTATTTTCTGGTATAGAGTGATATTTACAGTACACGTCGAACGGTGTTCGAACGTCATGACATCTTCGGAAAGACACGTTCAAACAATAGTGTGTTTTAACAAGGTTATAGTGTTACAAACTTCTGGACATGCATGCAGCTAGAGGAAGACGGTATGTATTCCGAGTGTCTTCCTAAAGATGTGTCGTTCGAACTATCTCCGATGTATACTGTAATAATCGCCTTACTTAAGAAAATAATTCTACCCACACCCTAGATGAAAATCTTTTTTCATAACAATATCCGAGTAATTTTATCATATCAGTTGTATTCGATTATAATAAATTCAAAAGTAATCAATAATACTTATACTTTGAAATTAAGACAACAATTTTAACAATTATTTTTAATATACTTAAAATCAATATTTATTATTTATTATGTATGGATAAATTTAGATAAATAATATTTTTATATAATTAATCCTGAAAATGATAAAAAATAATATTTAAAGAAACGACGCTGATTTTAATCACGTAGGACAAAAATATATTTTACCAGAACGTTTTTATTCTATCAAAGACGTGTTTTGCTAGAAAATTTTTGGCATACATGGTGGTATAGACTAAAGACATTGTTGATCATGCGCTTCTAATGATTTTCTCCCCAAATTGAATTTCAATTGTTGAATAATTTAGAATTTTATAAAAATAGTTAAGAATTTTTTTTCTGAAATGAGAGTTTTTATATAATAAACAAATTAATAGAATGTTTTATCTGAAGATTTTGAGGCAAGTGCCCCTTAGATTTGAAGGAGCCTGGCATATCCTAACGTGGGATGTCATTTTCATGCATCGTAATTCGGCGCTCTTTTGGTTATACAACAGAAGTGATGTCATAACCGTCTTTCGGTTGGGCCTCAAATTAAGCTTAGACGTAGATTAAATCAATTGAAAATCGTCACCGATCATTTACTTTACGAAAAATAGGTTGATCAGATACCTTATTTCTTATCTGATCTGCGTCTTACCAGAGATATATCAGATTCGGGAGTCGGTTACAGTCAAGGAAGGGTTAGCACCCTTGAATTGTCCTTTCGATACTACGTAATTTCTAGTTGTCATTAAGTAAGAAAATTGAAAGTTTAACTCAAAAGGTAAAATTACGATCCAAAATTACTTACCCTAATTCGATTTGAAAATATCCCTTTTAAAAAAAGGCGAGAAACACGTTAGAGGAAAAAGACAATGAAAGTAAATAAATAAAACAAAGAAAACACATAAATAACATGAATAAACAAAATGAGATAAAAATAAGAAAATAAAAGAAGTAAAAGTAAAAATAAACAAGAAAAAAGAAAAAAGAATGAAGTAACGAATCTAATAATAATAAAACAACAATAAAAATAATGAGGAAAGACACAAAGAAAATAGAAAATAAATGAAAAAAATACAATTACATAAAATAAAAATAAAAAATAAAAAAATGTAAGTTAAAAGTAAAATAGTAATAACAATTATAATGATAATTATAAAAATATAAATATATACGTTAATAGCAAAAATAAATAGTAATAATACTAGTTATATGAATATATATATATAATAACTTATAAACAAAGTATAAAAAATAATAGTAATAATAAGTATTAAAATAAAAAAATAGTAATAAATAAAAAAACAAAAATAAAAGAAATTATAAAGAATATGAAAATTAAGTAATATATATATATATATATATATATATATATATATATATATATATATATATATATATATATATATATATATATATATATAAAAGTATAAATGAAATAAAAAATAATAATAATGGAAATATAAGTAAACATATATGATATTAGTAGGGGATTAAATTAAAATAAAAGCTAAATCAATGGGCAAATGTCAAAGAACATTGAAGATTAAAGCCGACAAAAATAAAAAAGTTTTCATTTTTTAATAGATTTTCGCACCCTCATTCCAAAAATGTAATTTGTTTTTGCGAAATAGTCTCTAGGGAGCGTAGATCTGAAATCAAAGTTTCGAAAAACTCCATCCGGGTCATCGGCTAAAACATTTGTCTTTGGGATTCTCAAGCAAAGAAAACGCGATTAACAATGCATGCAAGTAAAGAGTAAAGAGAAAAAAACGAAAGGTAAAAAACTTTCACCTTTATTACTTCGAATCGTTTACAATAGCCTCGAAATCACTTTTTCTTTGCTCGTATTTTTCTGGCGTTCCTTTTGTGTAACTCGTGTGTGTTATGGTGTGATAATTACAATGCTTATTTCTAGTACTAAAAACCCTATTTTAGAATAGTATGAGTCCTAATCCAACTCTTTTTTGATGGTTACATGAAGACTCCTCGGTTGACAGGACAAAATATGGTGTCTTCAGCTACCCCTCTTTGCTCATTATCGTGTAACGAAAATGGAGCAAAGATTACAAGACACAAATTTTGTCCATATCGAATATCCTCTGTCGTAGAGTTGAAATCTGATATTGAAACTGATTTGTCAATCATAAAATGACTCAATCATTGTGAGGTTGAGTCAAAATTGGAAAATTCTAAGCAAGAAATCCTTCGTCGTGAAGTAGAAAACGAGCTCAAAGCTTTTGAGTGGCCTCTGAATAGTGTTCTGGCTCAAGATACTTCGTCCTGAATGTGGAACTTGACCTGAAGATTTTGGATTTATGATGTTACAGATGGCCCCTTCGTCGTGAAGTTGAGCCTTAGAATTGGATATCCTTCATCGTGAAATTGAAATCCAATGTAAGTTACGTTGCTGCTTGTGTGCACAATTCCCTTCGTCGTGAAGTTGAGCCTGGTAATTGGATATCATTCGTCGTGAAGTTGAAATCCAAGTAAGTTGTATTGCTCAGAGTCCAATATCCTCCATCGTGAAGTTGAAATTGGCTCTGGAACTGGGAAATTGTTTGTTGACAGTCAGTCGCCCCTTCGCTGTGAAGTTGAGCTTGTGCTGTCTCGAGTCTAATATCCTTCGCTGTGAAGTTGAAATTGACTCTGAAATTGGGAAGTTGTTTGTTGACAACCAGCCGTCCATTCGTTGTGAAGTTGAACTTGTGTTGTCTTGAGTGTTGAGCCTGGTAATTGAATATCCTTCGTCGTGAAGTTGAAATCCAAGTAAGTTGTATTGCTCCGAGTCCAATATCATCCGTCGTAAAGTTGAAATTAGCTCTGGAACTGGGAAATTCTTTGTTGACAGTCAGCAGCCCCTTCACCGTGAAGTTGAGCTTGTGTTGTCTTGAGTCTAATATCCTTCATTGTGAAGTTGAAATTGACTATGAAATTTGTTTGTTGACAATCAATCGTCCCTTCGTTGTGAAGTTGAACTTGTGTTGTCTCGAGTCCAGTATCCTTCGCTGTGAAGTTGAAATTGGCATGATATCCTCCGTCGTGGAGTTGAAATCGTGGATGTGTGGGTACGATATCCTCCGTCGTGGAGTTGAAATCGTGGATGGCCTCTTCGTTGTGAAGTTGAGCATTGACTTGAATATCCTTCGCCATGAAGTTAAAATCCAAGTATTGAACGTTACGGGTGGACACGATTCCCTTCACCATTAAGTTAAAAACGTGGATGACCCCTTTATTGTGAAGTTTGGCTTCGATCTAGATATCCTTCGTCGTGAAGTTGAAATATACTCTTGTACAAATTGTGTCGCTTCGAGTTCAATATCCTTCACTGCAAAGTTGAAATTGGCTCTAGCTAAAACCTACAAAGTGATGCATATATGCGATGGATGCAATGCCCTTAGGTATGCCTAAAATGCATATGCAACATATGTTATTTTGGGTTCTGGAGAAAAATCTTGATCTCCGATTGTATGTATGGAATCTTAACTCTAGAATCTTGAAGTTCTGATCCCTGATCTCGAATTCTTCAAATATTCAAATATGATGTGCACATTCTATTTGTTTCTTGATTTGGGAAATGCTTCTCAACCAATCTCAAGTATGAGCCTTGATCGGCTTTCGAGTATCTGTACTTTTCAATGAATCTTTGTACAGTAATCTACAAATATCTTTTGCATAAATAAATAAATCATTAAGTTTAAGCTCAATCCAAGATGCTCAAAAGGAATTGGTGTAGGGAAAAAAGATTGTCTTTTATTCATGAGGGAAAAAGAACAAATAATACATGACAAACATTTTGGAAGATGAAGACATGATGAGGTGAAAATGAATGTCTTAGATTTCAATAATGTGGGCACTTCTGAGCTGAAAAGTCGTTAGGTGACCTTGAATACAGCCTTTGCCAAAGGATCTTCGAGAATGCGACAACATTCAGGAGAGTGCAACCTTTCTCCGACTCGTTGAGTCTGTGGAAAATTCATATGCCGGGGAGTTTCAACTGTCTGGATTTCTTGAATTATCCAAATCGCCCTTTCGGGTTTTCAACTTAGATCCATCCTTGGTTGTAAGACGCCCTTTACGGGTTTTCATCTTGAACCCACCTTATTTTTTGTTCTTTCTCTTTTTTCTTTTGTTCTCTTTTTCAATTTTTTCAATTTAGGGCGCCCTTTCGGGTTTTCACCCTAAATGTTTTTTCTTGTTCTTTTTTCATTTTTCCTTTTTTTTGACTTAGGACACCCTTTCGGGTTTTCATCCTAAGCGAAGTATTTCTTGATTGCATCCGAATTGATGGGATGCGGTAGTTCGGGTCCGTCCATTTCAGCCCGGAGAAGGCCTTTTTCACGACATAAGGTTCTTCCCAATTTGGCGTCCATTTTCCTCGGAAATCTTTTTGGACTGGTAAAATTCTCCTTAGCACCAGATCTCCTTCACGGAATATTCTCGGGCGTACCTTCTTGTCATGTGCTCGAATCATTCGTTTATTATAGATTTGACCATAGTGAATGGCTTTCAGTCTCTTTTCATCTATCAGGTTAAGCTGATCGTATCTGGATTGCACCCATTCTGCGTTATCCAGTTTAACTTCTGTCAAGACCCGTAATGACGAAATTTCTACTTCAATGGGCAGCATTGCTTCCATTCCATAAGCTAATGAAAATGGAGTTGCCTCAGTCGAGGTTTGTACTAAGGTTCGATAAGCGAACAAAGCGAAAAACAACTTCTCATGCCAGTCTTTGTAGGTCTCGGTCGTCTTCTCCACTATCTTTTTAATGTTTTTGTTTACTGCTTCTACTGCGCCATTCATCTTTGGTATGTATATAGTAGAATTGTGAGGCTTTATGTTGAATTGCTCACAAGCAGCTTTCATCATTTTATTGTTCAAGTTTGTAGCATTATCGGTAATGATCCTTTCAGGTAAACCATACCGACATATGATCTTTTTTTTCAAAAACTTGCAAATAACGGATTGAGTGACACTGACA